ACATTGTAGTCTCTGGTGTTTTTATCTTATGTGTGTAGAACGTGATCAGAACTATTACTTGTCGATGGATATCAAGTATACACGAAGCCAAACTGATGAGTTTTTTGGTGGCTACCTTCATATGAAGAGAGGAGTAAGACAAGACTGACTACTCCTATCAACCAACGATGGTAATCCTGATTGTAGTGAGGTGAATTATGCAGCGCTTAGCGGGGAATCAGAAGAGAGGCATGTGTCCGACCGATTAGAAGACTTTGGAAGATTTGGATTTTACCTGACGGTTTACCTCGAATGTTCCATGAAGTCGAAGATCTTCTACAGGCGAAAATCCACACACTGACAGAAGACGCTGGTAGTGAAGATAAGACTTCACTTGTGAACATGAAGATACTCACTTATCTAACCACAGCAAGAAAAACAAGCATGAATGGGAGAAACTTGAAGGAAGTCACCTCTTCCACTCATCGAGGCAGAATCATCATTTCAACCACAGTCAAGAAGCACCGATGAGGATTCCAATATCAGTCACGATCGGAAAAGCAACACAAAGATTCCTTAATCCGAAATCAGTGTGGAAATCTACTGTAGTCGTCAACATGAGGAATAAAATGAGAATTTTCAACTCTGTCAATTTAGTCAGCATTCCCATGTACTTCAGGGACTTGACGCGAACTTCCTCAAATGTATTTCGAACAGGATTCAAACGTTTATCAATAGGTGTCTTCGCTAGCTGTAATATTGAAGATCAGTTGGCCGACCAGGACGGATTACCAAGCAACTAGGAACTCTGTGATCCAACCAACCAACTAACCAACCAACGAAGATTTTTCACCCAGACAAATATTCCGAAGGAGGTGGAGATGGGTTGGATGCACACTGAAGAGACCTTTTTCAGTGACACTACGCACCAGCCATGGTCTCCAGTGGAGTTTCAAGCGGAAGCAACTATTTGACAGTTCGAAGGCGGGGAGGAAATGAAAGCTTGAGAGTGATGGTAGAGGCGGTTGAAGAGGACTGCAGAGAACAGAGATGTGCTACTGATGTCCTAGATCCAACTTGGAACCCTGGTGAATAATGACTGAAGATATTATTACATTTAAATATTTAACGCTACACACACACACACACAAACTAGAGATAAGTATTCCTCATATTTGAGAAGTTTTTCCATTGACAGTTGGGTTGTTCAAACATTTCAGTTCGCGTCCAACCTCTTTTGTCTCTACTGATATATTGTTTCATTGGAAATCACACAAAGCTCAAATTATGAATAAAATGTATAGATTGGGTCGAGTTATTCAACCGAATTAATAATATGCATGTAATGCATATCCGATCGTAATTTGAAAATCTCAATTCTAACAGTTCAGAAGGGGAAGTTCAATCACCTGCCTATTCACCGAGCTTTCAAGAATTCTCTTTATTTACTAGGCATGAATTTCACCAGACTTCGCCACTGAATACCGTTTACCAAAACACAATGACTTAGATTGTGTAGTGTTGACTGTTATCTTGATCATTTTTATTATTATTGTTCTTTTGGGGTCCTAGTGGAACATAGGGCTTCAACTGTACGTCTCCACTTGCTTCTGTCTTCCTTCTGCTGTACTTTCCACCTGCATCCATGTTAGTTAGTCCATACTGTTTCAACTCCTCTTCACACGATCTCCTCCATGTCACCCTTGCACTGACGTCCTACTCGCCGCTTGCTTCCCTTTCGGGTTCCACTCGAGCAATGGCCTGACGCGCGCGCGATGTCACCAACCGACCTCCTCAACGAGCGAGTTTCCAATCCATCTCCACTTTCTCCTGCATATTTGCTGTTGGTTGGCGATTGGTTCTTGTTTTGTTTCTTCCCATAGTTTCTTGTTGGTGGTTCTTTCCGGCCCGGCCATCTGATCTTCAGTATAGAGCCAGTGAAGACAGTTGCTGATAAAGTTACGTCTGTAACACACTGTTGGAAATATCCTTGTGACCCGCCCGCCCGCCAAGCTTCTGATCCGTATAGAAGAACTGGCTGACTTGACGTTTGCATTGAAAATCCGACCGAATTTTGTTGTTGATGCTGGCTGAGTGACGAAGATTGGTTTCCAGATTGGTTTCAGGTTGATGAGTGAATGTGTTTCTCGCCCCGCCCCCGATTCTCGCTCGATCCGACATCCTCGTCCGTTTCGACTGTCTGTAGTTGAGACGATGCTCCCTAGATAAGTGAGTTAATGAAGTAACCACTTTCAAATCCCTCCCGTTGATAGTGATTAGCTGCTGGCTGGATGTTGTATTGATGTTGTTGTTTTTGTGGTTGTTGGTTGGTTATTTTCATCACCTCCGTCTTGTCTATGTTCACCTGGAGTCCTGTCTTCGCCGGCTGCTTCCTCGACCAGTTTGTCGGTTTTCGCTCGCTTGTAAGTCTTCGATTTTGCGTGACATCAAACATAAATCATCCACTCGCGAAATCCAGGTCCGCTAGGTCCTTCACGTCGGTCCACGATACCCCTGTCATCTCGTTTCCCACTCACTGTCTGACGCAAAATCCAGTCCAACACAATAACGAATATCATTGGTGATAAGCAAGCACCCTTGTCTGACTCCTGTGTTTGCTCCAAACGCCTTGCTGAGTTTTCCGTTGTGGATCACTTGACATGTTCCGTTGTCGTACAGCTGTTGAATAAGGTTGATGAATATTTGGGCGCTGTACACCGTAGTACTCGAGTAATTTCCAAATTACTTCGTGTTCAACGCTATCGATGTCCTTCTCAGATTCTATAAAGTTAAGGTGTAACAACGGAAGACAAGGGCCGGTAACGGATCGTTTTATTACGGAAATCAACACGTATTTATATATATATTTCATGTACATTATTATAGGTTATTCAAGCAGACAAACACATTCTTCTGATTGGTTGTTTCTTGCCCAAGGTGACTGGTTTCTCGGAAAGTTAATCCACATATCCGCGAATCTTATTTGTCCACGTTAAGTCTGCTGTGATTTGTTGTTGAATCAGCCTTGTTCATATTATCCCACGGCCAATATTAGTCACCTAGACATTGACGTAAATTAATGCCTACCAATTGGCTAGCAGCCTGCTCTCACCACAAAGGTAGAGGTTTGATTGCCATTCCATGTTTAGTTCTGTGATGATGATGATGCGTAGAGTTGCAATTTAGTCAGAACATGATTCGCCTTTCCTGAATCCAGCTTCTTCTGGTTGGTGTTCTGTATCCAGTGCGTCCTTCAATCCCGCCAGGATGATGCGACTCAGGATTTTACTTGGCGTCGATAGGAGCATCATTCCTTGCCAGTTCTTGCAGAGTAAGGCCTGAGTCACCTTTCTTTGGTAGTAGTTTCACGATGCAACCTTTCCTCCAGTCAGTAGGCACCTTTCCCTCCTTCCAGACCTTTTGCAATAATGGAGTCAGCATGTCTGCTGTCGCCTCTGGGTTCTCTTTCAGTGCTCCAGGGGGTATTCCATCTGGTCCAGCTGCTTTTCCAGCTTTCAGAAGCTTGATTGCATTCAAGACGTCAGCTTTCGTTGGAGGATTGGTGTCAACTTGCACTTGTGTGCGCGCTGTTGTTGGTATTTCTGGACGGGTTGCAGGTGATGGTCGGTTCAAGAGTCCTTTGAAGTGATCCGCCCATCGTTTAATCAGTTTTTCTTCCTTGGTGATTGGGTTCCCTTGGCTGTTTTTTATAGGTTATCTGATGTAATATCCTCAGGTCCCTTTTACCTGCTGCCTTCTCAGCTTCAGTGGCCAGGTTGTCGTAGAATCGTCTTTTGTCCTTCCTAGCAATCTTCTTCACTTCTTTGTCCAGTGCACAGCTGTGTACGTTGAGCTCAGCGTCTCTTTCTCTTGTCCGTCCTTGCATTGAATCATTTTCTCTTTCACCATTCTCCTCTCTTCAATTAATTTCCAAGTGTCCGTTGAGAGCCATTCCTTGTCTTGTCTCTTCTTTCTTCCTAAAACCGTCGAACACGTTTCGTTGAAAATCACCTCCAGAGACTTCCAATGTTCTTCCACGCATGATTCTTCCGTGATGTCGCGTAGTGTTTCCTGCTTTGCTCTGACAGTTGCAGTGAAGGTGTCCTTTGTGGTTGTGTCCTTCAGGTTTTGAGTGTTGAACTTGCATTGTGGCCTATCCCCAGCTATCCTCGAGGCTTTTAGTTTCACCTTGGAGGTCCCTTGTACTAGGTAGTGGTCTGAACCCACATCGACTCCTCTTCTCAACCTTGTGTCCAGTAGGCTCCGTCTCCACATTCTTGAAATTGAGATGAAGTCTATTTGGTTTCTGATGTTTCCATCTGGTGAAATCCATGTCGTCTTGTGTATATCTTTGTGTTTGAACACACTGCCACCAATCACCAAATCATTGAGGGAGCAGAAGTCTGAGAAGAGTTCAACAATGTCGTTCATTTCACCGAGAGCCTCGCGATCTCGCGTTGACCAAATATGCTAGAGACCAGTAATCCACGACTGTCTATGATTTGGCTGAAAAACAATCGACGGTGAGATATCTGCATCTGGCTTACATCCTCTGCAGAACTTTAAATGTTCCCACCATCCTCCTATTTCCTAACACTGTCCAAATCTAATCAAATAAAGTCCTACTCAAATATTAGGTAAAAGGGAGTGGATTTCATTATGATTATAGACTGACGGTTTCAAAGTGTAATGTAATGGCCTAAAAATGAAAGCAGTTTGAATGTTTTAGGATGTATTTCGATAGACTTTAGAGACTACCACTACTATTATTACGGCTAATGGAAACAATATTAGATATGCAATAGTAATAATAATAACAATAATAGTAATAGTAATAATAATCATAGGAATTAAAAATTACCATGCAGTCACCACAGTCGGTGAGTGTTTTTCACCGTTACAACGAATCTCCCTGACTTTTCCAAGATATAACTCATCACGATCGGAACGGAACTGTACACAATCACCGAGTTCAACAACCAAACCATCCACATTACGAATAATTGACCGACAAAATGTACATCTGCGTTTACGATGTTTGTACTGTTTCACGTCAACCATGTGAATCGCCAATTGTCAGTTGGTAAAAAGATAAACAACTCCGTTAAATAAAAATCATTAATTAGGTGTATACAGTACTACTCTGGGAAAAAGGTAGAATATGCAATAGCTTCTCTATAAGGATGCATGATTTACAGGGTACGTATACATTGTCAGATGACATAAGTATTACACTGACAAACTCGGTATCATGATTAATCACTTCAGTTACTTCTTTTGAATGAAGTAAGGAGTAAATATTGTTAGCGAATGTTTATCTGTGATTCTATTATTTATAACTGCTGAGAAGAGGTCTCCAGGAGTGATTAGATTTTACTCAATTCAATATGATTTAATTATCACTCGGGGAATATGCCCTGACTAATATACACTTATTTCCATTTCAAACTAAAAATGCTGTACAGCTTCAAACACAGCGATGTCTTTCCGCTAGATTTCTCGATGGGTCATAATAAGAAGTTATACATGATAGTGTGGTCCAAAGTGGTCTAGTCGAATTGACATTTGGGGTCAATAATTCAGTGATTGAACACTTTCCGACTACTGGCGCTGCTGGACCACCGGTCGACACAAACCCTTATCTCGCGCTAAGCAGGCGGTAAGCCCAGTAACGCGGGGAAGATTAGAAGGCTGGAAACATCATTCCTTTACAAGAATCATTGCTACTGAGAATCCAAATATTAAGCTTGAAGCTCTATTTTTCACTAGGAAAGAAAATGATTGAAATTTAAAAAGTTAGTAATATATGAAGACGGATATTTGAACAATGAATAGTTGAGCTGTGTAATAAGTAGGTTGAATGAAGTGGGTGAATGACGAAGATTAAATAACGGTCGAAGGGTTTAACAGTAACAAGACCTAAACTTCCTTCGATATCAGATCACAAGTGTGCACTGTAAAGTACCAAACAACTCTCTGGAACGCCATTTTTTCTCCACACTACTCCCTATATCGTGTCGGTTCTAAATATCATTTATATCTCAATACAACAAATAGTCATGAACACAAACGAAAAACTGGGCGACCATATGCACTTTCATGTAGAAGGCAATCACTTTCTACAAAGTTAGCTACAGTATCAAGCATTTGAACTCAACGGAAGAGTAAGTCTTTCCGACTTTCTCAGTCATTATTTACAAATCAAGTGGGTTAACCACCTTCGTCGAATTTCGGTCCTTCATTCGCAGAATATGAAAAGTACAGAAGATTAACATATCTCAGTTTCCCTCTGAAGAATTGAACTGCAGCGCGAATAGTTCCAAATCACGCCTTGTTAATTTAAAAATTGTATGCAGCGAACCACATATCAAACATTCCGTGATCTTATTATTACTATTATTATCATTATCATTATTCACTTGGGTTCCGAGTGGAGCATGCAGCTTCAACAATATATCTCAACTTTGTTCTATTTTCCGCCGTCAAATTCAGCTGCATCCGCGACTGACCATAATCTCTCATCTCCTCCTCGCATCATCTCCTGCATGTCACGCTCGCACCCATCACCCACTCGTCGTCGCTTCCCATTGGAACTCCACTCGAGGTTATCATGATCTTCGACTGTTGGAAATTATTTGTAGTCCTGAATGTGGATGCAAATCAATACTTAGATGTCTCTTCAAAAAATTCATCTCAACTAACTGTTCAACCTCGACTTTATAAGATCCAACCATGTATGCTCTTTAAATAATTACGAGTATCGACAGTTGACATTTCCTTGCTGGCTCACAGTCTGGCAAGGAAACACCATGCTTCATCACCCACTTCTAACTGCAAATTATATGTCGACAGATCTCATATTCGGATAAACAATCAGAAGTATCAGATTCACCTCTGACAAACATCCCGTGGTGAAGTCTTTAGCCTCAAGATACAGTAACAGAGGTGAGAATATCAACAGTTAGAATAAGTGAATGAGACTTTCACTAAGGCTAAATAAGAATAAGCCTCAGTGATGAAGCTGTGTGCGAGTATGTAGTCTCAATCCATGGCATTCGGTCAACCGACTCATCTTAACACAATTGGACCTATCTTTCATAGTAGCTAAGCTGCTGATCGCCTACAACTGCTCTGAATATTCTGAAGTCCAAAGGAGAAAGACATTCACGTTATGCACCGTTGAAATGTCCTATGACTGGTGATTTATTCACAACTAGTGAGGATATCATGCACTCACTCTTCAAGAGAAATTATTTGTTTTCAGGAAGGCCAAAACATCATCACCTACCTTTTCAAGGATGCTCCATGGACCAATGTTGCCTCCTCTACTAATAATAGGAGTTTTTATAGTTCTTGGAATGCATATAGTATTTGAAACGGATTCACCCGAATCAAGATTGCATCGCATCGTTATGTCTGAGGAAGTCGAATATCCACAGATTTCAAAACTTTTAGTACGTACGACACGCGGATTTGGTTCGTATGCAGTGTCGTCGAGTAAACTAGATGTGGAATTTGCTATGGAATTTGTACTTGTTTGAGGCGAGCACAATGAAATGGGAGTTTCTGAAGAAAGAGATGAAAGCAAAGAGTAAGGTGATTCGTAAACACATGAGATAACGAGCGACAATCACAGAGAAAATTGAGACAAATAATCACATACTACTACACACTACTTGTAAGTAGTCAACACATATCAAACAAATATTTCAGTCCAGACTAGCAAACATGCTAGCTAGCTGGCTAGCTAGTTGTAAACGCGATCATAGGGAAATGACGCTGTGATATCATCTCACAATATGTGTGTCTCCTGAATGTCCTCCCTATTTAAACACACGACATATGAAATAGTCACATAGGAAAATCAATCACATAGGATAACTTACCTGACAGAGACCAAGAATTATATGATAATCTTCGAATGTTGCGATCGACACCGCTATGACGGCGCATTCGTGACACAACTTCATTTCTCACACAATTCACAGAATTTGAAGGGATCAAATAGGGTGACAGACCCTTCATTGTGTGAGGCTCACCACCGGTTATATCAGCTAATTCACATAAATTTGTAAAAGAATCTGGTAGAATACGAAGAAACCAGATAAGGGAACTTCAGGTGAATCAGCTAGTAGAGTGGAAAAGAGAAAAGTAGGTAGAAGAAAGAGACAAATTACACTTTTAAGGAAGATCTTGTTCAGAAATACGAAATAAAAGACAAACTAACCACATGAACACAGTCTTGTTCTGTGCTAATGACAAACGTGTGTTTGGCCAGTTTTCGTTTCCTATTCCAAGATGTCCCTCAGTATGTATGAAACCATAATTCTCTCTGTCGTCAACATTCGAAGCTAATGTTAAACTTACGATTAGTTTATAAGCAACACTTTGTTGATCATAGAATATGCTAAGATTGAAGAAACCAATCAACCTCATTGTAAAACATGCCACATTTCCTCCACTGTTACCACATCAATTTTCTTTAAACTTCACCTAACCACTATAAGTAGTAAGGATGACTTGAATAACATCAAACCTTCGACGAGAAGTATCAGTAAATAGAATTCCGTTAATGCTAACCAAGAATGAATAAATACAAAACAGGGAAATGTATGGAAGAAACTAAGAACCAGACTATATACAATTCATATGGTATCCAGGATAATACTTTTAAAACTTCCCATTTTTTAATTTTAGAACAAGATATATCAGCGATCAAAATTGTATTCAATTACATCTTCCTTTAGGCTTCACTCTAATTTACATAACTTTATGAATAGGCGGTTCAACCAATGACGGTGAGTTTGTCGATCAAAATAATAAAAAGCATTAAATGCTTTTAAAGTCAGGAATAATGATGATTATGCTGATCACAAAAGTAATGATAATAAGGTTTATACAAGTGACGATAATAATAGCGAAGTTAGTAATATATGTGTATATGCAGACAATTCAATAAATATATAAACAGTTAGGTCAACTCCCAAAAGTTACACAATAATAAAGGTGAAGTGGATCACCTATCAACTTTTCAAAAAAGGGGAATACTTTGATTTTGATAGTATATATATACTATTTATTATTTTTTTATTTTTGATTATAGCTTGATTCCACACTGTATTTTTGGTACAAATATGGAATTTTCAGCATGGATATCGGTAGCCCAAATTTTGCAGGCCAACCATAGATATCAGGTGTGCGTCGTCAGGGGATAGAACCTCAGACCATGTTCATGGTCGGCGAGAGTCCTAACCACTGTGCCACCGACGAACAGAATAGTTACTGATAACAAGATATGAATAACATTACCCAACAACTACTTATATCTCCATGTATTTGGTTATATGGAAGCTAGTGATACCATCTAGCCACCTAAACTTCAGCAGATGAACTGGAGTTCGAATCCATCAGTCAGCGGTTAAAAGCTGAATTCCTTCACCAGCGACCTATAGCTCCAACAAGACACTAAACAAACTTGTCATCTGTTTGGTTTACAAAAAGTGGTTTCTTCGTTTTCTCATTAACCGTATAGATGATAACATAACATAACATAACATAACATAACAATTTCGCTTTATTCCAGAAACAGTACTTGTGGTACAGTGTGGAATTTTCAGCACATATCTACAATATTGCATCTAATTTCATCGTACATTTAAAAGGAGTATTATAAAATAAAATAAAATATAATAAAAACCAAAAAAAAGAAACAGAAATAACCAAAAAAAATGCAAATAAAAATACTGAGTAAAAAAGAAGACGAACACAAATAATGAAAAAAAATATTTCAGTATTAGTTAGTGGAAGCTACGATATGTGTATGCGTGGTGAACAGTAACAGCTATAATCATACGGGAAATTATGAAATGTTCTTAAAAAAATGTTTATAGCCAAGATGATCAGTTAATTTGATTGAACAACACTAAGCAATCATAAGATAAACATTTCAGGTTTTTTTTTGTCAGTACTAATGCGGTTGTTTGTAGTGGCAGTGTGAGGAATCATGCATAATACAAAATTTTTAAGATGGTGATAGTGGCAATAACAAACAAGATTGTCAGTTAAATAGTGCCGAACAAAGAACAACCACAAAACTAATGTTACATGATGGTTAATGACGGGACAATTTTTAATAATCATAGTGATAATATAGTCGGACCCAGTAGATGTACAAAGAAGGAGTAGAATAAAGAATAAAAATGTAAGCCAATGATAATAATTTTAAGCAGCTAAGTATGTTTAAGAAGGTTGTTCACTATAGAGTACAAATAAGAGAGTGTAAGGGGGAAAAAAACAAGGGCCAAAATTATGTTATTAACAACAAAGCAAGTCATAGGTTTCACGTCTAACATTGTCTCTGTCACTTAGAACACGGGCCAAATATGGTATCGTTGAGTTCCTATACTTGGTTGTGCGAGCATATATTATTTTATACTGATTTCTGGTTCTACTTGATGAGATGCAGGGAGAGAGTTGGGAATAGAGGGGGTGTTGGGGGTCAGAGAGTATGGTTTTAGACCATTTCTCACATGTATTCAGATGCTTATCCACTAATGTTGTGACGAGCTGACTGAGTTTTACACCGCTAGTCCTGCTAACTACCTTCAACATCCTTCTCAGGATGGTATAATCCTTTTTCAGTAACCCAGGAAAGACTAACGGGGAACAGTAAAGTAGAATAGGTAGGATACGAGAGTTGACAAATTGTGTAAGCAGAGGTTGAGGGACTCCAGTTAGTCTGAGTTTCTTAATGTAGTAGGTTAGACGAAACACTTTCTTGGAAATCATTTGGATATGAGATGACCAAGTAAGGTCGGAAGATATAACTAATCCGAGGTATTTTGCATTAGACTTTGTTTCAATTATAGTCCCCTCGATTCTACAGACATCATGAGTGCTTACTAGTGTTTGTAGATCTCGTTTATGCCTAAAGGAGAAGTCGACAGTCTGGCATTTTGAGGGATTCAGCGTTAGGCCATTTATTTTAGACCACTGACTGATGTCCGACAGGAAGCTATTTAATTTGAAGCAGTCTGACTGAGACTTAACGGGAAGCGAAACAGTCAGGTCATCTGCATATTTGACGAAGTTGATTTCGTCTGAGAGAGGTAAGTCATGTAAGAAGAAGGAAAAGAGAAACGGCGAGAGAACAGCACCCTGAGGAACACCAGCTTCAGTAAGCAAAGGAGAGGAAGCTACACCATTATATACCGTGTACTGCATCCTATTGGAGAAGTAAGAGTGCAGCCAGTTGATAGCCCAGGACTCAGTTTGTGTAAGGCTAAGCTTGTTTAACAAAAGGCCTCTAGGTACAGAGTCAAAAGCAGATGTGTAATCAAGGAAAGTACAACGGACATACTTGGCCCCTTTGTCTAAGGAGGATACAATGTTGTGATGAAACACTGCAGCAGCATCCAAAGTACTTCTACCCTGTTTGTAAGCAAACTGCTTTGGATCATTTGAGAAGCTTAGGGAGGGAATGAGTTTTTGTAAGAGTAATTTCTCCATCAGTTTCAAGAAAGGAGAGGTAATGGCAATTGGTCTAAACTTAACACTATCTCCAGAACCAGACTTGGGTACAGGGATGATTTTAATATCTTTCCACAGAGAAGGTACATTATTATGAGAAAAAGAAGTATTGAAAATGCTTGTAAGTGGGTTACTTAAAATATCAGCACATTTCTTTAAAACAATGGCAGGTATACCATCAGGGCCTAGACTCTGGGAAGGTTTAAGAGATTTCAAACATTTAAGAACATCAGAAGTATTGAAACGATGAAAGTCACTGGTCGTGTTATTAGTTAAATTGAAGGCAGAAAGGACATTTGGAGGGCGGACAAAAGATCTATTGAGAGTATTTACATCAATAGAAGAGGCAAAATTATTATGCTTACCACAACCAGTAATTTCTCTAAAAAGCTTCCATATGTTTTCTGATGTTTTACAAGATAGTATTGTTTGATTATAAATGTTGTTTAGTCTCTTGATTTCAGATTTAATTTGGGTGTTTATCTTCTTAAGACCAGATTTATTCTTTGTCTTGTACAGCTTCTCTTTTTCTCTACGAAGTTTTTTGAGATGAGGGGAAGAAAAACGATCCATTCTTTTGAAAATTATCTGTTTTGGACAGCATATATCAAGACAGAATTTAAGATAGTCAGTCAAATTGGAAATAGTATCATCCAGTTTGTGTTCGTTGAAAAGTTCCCAGTTAGTGTCATTTAGCATACATCTTAGTTTGAGCATATTTTCTTGTGAGTAACACCTTTGCTGTGTTCTCTTGGACAGATTTGAGAAGATATTAAAGTGAGATCTGCTGTATATCTTAGGTAATATCCGAATAATACAATGATCTGAGTTCATGATAGGAGCACGTCGGCGTACTTCATATATTTCCTCATCATTAATGAACACCAGGTCAAGGGTTTTATCAAGTCGAGTAGGGAATTTAACAATATTGGCATGACCTAATGATACGAGGAAAGAACAATCACAGCAGTTAAAATCTCCTGTGACAACTGATAAAGAGTTTTCAAGATGTGTAACGGCAAATTCAGTGAATTCATCAGCAAAATCAGATAGATCAGATGCAGAACAGCCAGGAGTAACATAAATGTTAGAGATGAAGACGTATTTGAATTTGGATAAATGTTTCGGGCGGCATTTGACCGTTATACAATCAATAAAGTCATTAGAGTAAGAAAAACATACATTATTTGAAGTTGACCATTGAGAATGAATGAAAGTTGCAACACCTCCACCTCTTTTCTTTCTGGAGCATAGTCGATCTTGTCTAAACAATGTAAAACCATTTAGGGAAACCAGATTGTCATCATAGAGTTCATGGAGCCATGTTTCTTGTAATGCAACAATCGCCGTATTGTGATAAGTATCAGATGATAAGAGAGACTGGAGATGCATAATTTTGTTGGGAAGTGAACGGCAGTTTGAAGTGACAATAACAGGAATGGTTGTACGATATAAAGGTGTCTGTTTAAGTGCACGCTGCCAGCCAGCATGATGTTTTCTCTTAGATTTATTAGATGCATTATTAGTTGCATGAAAGTCATATGGTTTAAAACGTTTAATGAATGAATTACTGTATTTTATGCGATTTGTGATCATATTTTATTAAAATTAGGAATGAAAACATGACTTATTAGATGCAATATGTAGATGCACGAAAAAGGTAGCCCAGATGTCAAACAGGCCGCCAGACTTCACTGTATATTGTTCTACTGAAATATGTCTACCAACTAGTAATTAGTTAACGAGACTGTTAGGTCTTGAAACAAAACATTTAAAGTTGGTGCTTTTTCTGAAACAAAAACTGACTCATCAAGTAAAAGATTCACACAGGTAATTTAAACTTTATAGAAATAAGCAGTGATAGTTAAATGTATAAATGAATACCCTAGGATATGAGGATGAAGTTAAAGCCTAAAAGCTGAGGGAATGTTAGTCAAGATAGTGTGTTATCAAACAAAAGTCACAAGTACTGAGTTGTGGTTCGTTTTGTCTCCCCTTATGGCTGAGAGATAATGCCAATGAAAGCGGGAGATATACAAGGAGATATACCTGTGTACTATTGTGGTGAGAGCAGGCTGCTAGCCGATTGGTTGGCACTAATCTACGTTAAGGTCTAGGTCACTAATATGGGCCGTGAGAAAATATGAACAAGCCTGAGTCAACAACCAATCACAGCAAAGTTAACGTGGCAGAATATGATTCGCAGAGAGAACTCTATTTGTCAAGGAATCCCGAAACAACCAATCAGAAGCCTGCGTTTGTCTACCTAAACAACCAATCAGATGACTGCGCTTGTCTATAATAATGTAGTTGAAAGATGTATAAATACGTGTTGATTTTCATAATAAAACGATCTGTTGCCTGGCCCTTGTCTTCTGTTGTTACATTTGGTGTCGCTGCCTACCGACAAATGAAAAGCCTATACCCTGCAGTTTTTGATGGAGACATATGGATCTTCGGGCAGGACTTCAAGGCTTCTGCGCAGTTGAGTGGCGTTCAAGATCTGTCAGCGATGGAGCTGCTACTTGAGACTCTGCTGGGAGGTCGGGCGAAAGCAGCATATGAAGGTGTGGGCCGAAGTATGGACGAATGTTCGACAGGGTCAGGCAAACAGTTTCCAAAGTGGGAAGGACCATATATGGTCACTTCGAGATGGGGTTACGCAGACACAGTCGCAATGGCGAACAATAAGAGGCGCGTGAACGTCAGCGAGCTCCAGAAATGGATACAGCGAGACAAGCCAACGATGACGCCTGCACCAAGTAGATCAAGCCGACTTCAGTCGCACGTATTTGACGGGGGGACGAGTGTGGTGAGAGCAGGCTGCTAGCCGATTGGTTGGCACTAATCTACGTTAAGGTCTAGGTCACTAATATGGGCCGTGAGAAAATATGAACAAGGCTGAGTCAACAACCAATCACAGCAAAGTTAACGTGGCAAAATATGATTCGCAGATAGAGAACTCTATTTGTCAAGGAATCCCGAAACAACCAATCAGAAGCCTGCGTTTGTCTACCTAAACAACCAATCAGATGACTGCGCTTGTCTATAATAATGTAGTTGAAAGATGTATAAATACGTGTTGATTTTCATAATAAAACGATCTGTTGCCTGGCCCTTGTCTTCTGTTGTTACACTATGACCGACCATACATGTTTGAGTTCTATCTCCCGTGTTAAGTGGTGTAATATGGTGAGTAATATTCAGATTAGTTGCAAACTGTCAGGTAAGGAGGGTAAGTCATATGTGTATATGTAGACGATTCAATAAACAAATAAATAATTAGTTAAAATCCCAGAAGTTACACAATAAATAATAAAGGTGAAGTGGATAGGTGATCAGAGTTTAAATAAATATCGAAAAAGTACGACAAAAATGCAAAGTAAGAAAGGGTGGGTGAGAAATTTCTAATTAAAATTTACCTAGGCCAAAAAAGGGAGAGACACAGGTAGAACAAACCTCTCTCGTATGCAAAGACACTAGGATAGTTCTCACGAATTCTCACAGCTTTGCCCATATATGTATAAAAGGCGATAGATAACCTTGAAGATACTTCTTCTATCCACTTGGTGACCGTTGTCATCAATCAAATGAGACAAAATAGAAATACTTATACACCCTACTACTCGGCCTTTTCCGAACCATCAAGCAAGATATCTCTCTCCATACAAACACCTACCTAAATGTGTAGGTGCAAATAGGATCGGCTAGACACCTAGATAGCTTGTCTTTCGCTTGTGCAATCACAACTGATCGGTAGCTGGAAAATCACGAACAGAGAGTCTTAGATGTAGGACTAGCCACTTCTAGCCACATCCCCATCTACTTCCAGTTTCAGGGACAGTTGTCTCTTTTTCACCGTTGTCGGTTCCTCTTCACCATACTTGGTGTTCATGTGTCTTCTTATAAATCTACTAGGATAACCCATTTGCACCAGCGTATTTCTAATGTGTCCTAATTCATTTTATCTAGGGAGTCATCTGTACAGATCATTCTCACTCTACTCGTCAGGGACATTTCACCAAATTCATTTTGTCTCGGATTGTTACAAAACTGAAGAAATGTGTATAATGTCCTACAGACTTAGGCTTTCTGTAGATACCTCTCTTGAGTGAAGCATCTGGTCTCTGTTCTGCTCAGCTGGACATCCACCATAATGTTCTTTCTTCACAAGTGAACATGAGCGATGGATGTGCATCATTAAAATTTCCTTAATATTTCATTCTTGTTAGCTTTCTAATCAAGAATAATAAACGTGTCATCAACATAACGTAAATAAGAATCCATTTTATCTATTAGTAGTTTAAATTAATCAGAGTGGTTCTGATGAATAAGTGTATGTGTACGTCGATAAAATGAATTCGTTTCTAACCGATGAAACGAAATGCCAAAAGCTTAACAACTCAAAAGATTTGGACTGAAAGGCTGAAAAGCAGCCGACAAACACGTATAAGCAGCTGAGTGAAAGTGTAGTAATCTAAAAAGGCAGCCTAAAACTCTCTCAAACCTACTGAAAGTAATACTTCATGATTGTATGGTTTATTGCCAAAGTGCATAAACCAGTACTTCCTCTTCTCCCACTCCTAGACATATCTAATTTCATCTACGGTGGAGTGACAAAGTGTCTATAACGTATATAACTGCTAACTTTATCGATCAGCAAAACTGACTGAAATCGAATGTGATTTAGAAATATTTATAGTGTGACAGACTTAATATGACGATTGAATGCTGCAAGTTTCCTAAGGAGAAATGCTGAAAGTCTGTCTATTGTTGTTGTATCAACTTTCATTTATTCTTAAAATGTTCACAAAATCATGTATCAAACAACTCAACCGTTTACAACCCCTAAACAACCTGGCTTTTTCATGATTATAAACTGTGATTATAAACTGTCAACTATGAATGTGGAGAATCACTATCTTAGCAAAAATTTCACTCACATCATAGAGTAAAAGTAGCACAAGGTAAGTATCAAAGCATATTATTATTGTTCCTTTGGGTTCCTAGTGGTACATATGGCTTCAAACTTGATATGATTATGAGCGGCAATAGTTTGTGCTCGAAACGTCATCAGTTAATGTAACTGTACAACACTGTGTGATTTATCCGAATAAAATCTTATCCATAATGGAGTTAGGGCTTCAACTGTACGTCTCCATTTGCTTCTGTCTTCCTTCTGCTGTACTTTCCACCTGCATCCATGTTATTTATTCAAATCTGTTTCAACTCCTCTTCACACGATCTCCTCCATGTCACCCTTGCACTGACGTCCTACTCGCCGCTTGCTTCCCTTTCGGGTTCCACTCGAGCAATGGCCTGACGCGCGCGCGATGTCACCAACCGACCTCCTCAACGAGCGAGTTTCCAATCCATCTCCACTTTCTCCTGCATATTTACTGTTGGTTGACGATGGGTTCTTGTTTTGTTTCTTCCCATAGTTTCTTGTTGGTGGTTCTTTCCGGCTCGGCCATCAGATGTTCAGTATAGAGCCGGAGAAGACAGTTGTTGATAAAGGTTATGCCTGTAACATGCTGTTGGAAATATCCTTGTGACCCGCCCGCCCGCCAAGTTTCTGATCCGTATAGAAGAACTGGCTGACTTGACGTTTGCATTGAAAATCCGACCGAATTTTGTTGTTGATGCTGGCTGAGTGACGAAGATTGGTTTCCAGATTGGTTTCAGGGTAATGAGTGAATGTGTTTCTCGCCCCGCCCCCCGATTCTCGCTCGATCCGATATCCTCGTCCGTTTCGACTGTCTGTAGTTGAGACGATGCTCCCTAGATAAGTGAGTTAATGAAGTAACCACTTTCAAATCTCTCCCGTTGATGGTGATTAGCTGCTGGCTGGATGTTGTTGCTGTTGTTGTTGTGGTGGTGGTTGTTGGTTGGTTATTTTCATCACCTCCGTCTTGTCTATGTTCACCTGGAGTCCTGTCTTCGCCGGCTGCTTCCTCGACCAGTTTGTCGGTTTTCGCTCGCTTGTAAGTCTTCGATTTTGCGTGACATCAAACATAAATCATCCACTCGCGAAATCCAGGTCCGCTAGGTCCTTCACGTCGGTCCACGATACCCCTGTCATCTCGTTTCCCACTCACTGTCTGACGCAAAATCCAGTCTAACACAATAACGAATATCATTGGTGATAAGCAAGCACCCTTGTCTGACTCCTGTGTTTGCTCCAAACGCCTTGCTGAGTTTTCCGTTGTGGATCACTTGACATGTTCCGTTGTCATACAGCTTTTGAATAAGGTTGATGAATATTTGGGGTAATCAAAGCATATGCGAAATACTTATCTCCTTTGTCAGTATAACGAAACAATGATTATTTATTCACATATGTATTAGCCAAAGACTTACCTTCAACGACTGTTCCAGGATAAAGATTAACTCCCAACTTATCACTCCACGCTGCACACACACGTGTTCCCGGCGGGACATGATGAATTGAGTCGGGGAATACTTCTAGGACAGCTTGTTGTACAACTTGCCATCCATAGAGTAATAGGTCCATTTGGCGTCTTCTGTTTGAACCAGGTGATGTGTTGCAACAATTTGTATTGTTGGCGGTAGATGGCGTCTGTAAACAGCCATTCGATGGTGACAGTGATGATGGCTGGCGTCGTGATGATGTCCCATTGGTGTTATTACTATGACTAGATGTTGTGAAATGATTATCATTAGCAACACGTGGGCCAGTTGAGCGATTACACTTCTCACTGTCCAATTGTATACGGAATATTCGATCACGTAGGTAATCACTAGACAGGCTAGTTTGAATAGCTAATGGAGAATGGTCTGTAATTGTTCGACGATAAGAATGTATAAGAGAAACAAAAGTAAATACCAACCAACTTCTGCACAAATGTGACAATAAAACCTAACCAGTCTCAGAATACTATAAAAAACAATTTTCAGGTAAATTTTTTCGGAAACGTGCATCAATTAAAGAGCCCTTGGAAATGAGAAAGCACCGGACAAACACACCGATTACAATTTAGTTTGGGACAATTTAGCAGGAAAGTCAACATTTGTCTATATGCAATCCTCAATCCTCTGTAAGTATCGTCATTCGTGCTCAACTCGGCGAGTTCCACAAGTCACAAATTCTAGTCGGAATTTTGAGAAATCCATGTGGAATTTAGTCACTGCTGTGCTGAAAACAGTTCGATAAACATTTGTCAAGCCCGCATTGATAATAATTCATACTGGGCTTGCATTAATATGTTTGCCTCTTGTAAGCCGTCATCAACCCTATCGCATCTCACCAGGCAACACAATCGAATAATGTTTTACTTCCGTCTTTCATCCTCAAGATAAGGAAAGACTTTCTGTACATAAACTGACTACTAGATTATTTGTTCAGAACAGCGGTAAATACTACCCACTTACGGTGCAAAGATTTATGACGCTTGTATAAATCACATAATACTAGTCAGAGGTAAGCGAAGAAGTGACAACTTAAGTGTATGTGAGTTTATCATAATTCTAGTGGAGATTTCTTTGTGTAAACCAACAAAGGAGGGATATAATTGGGGAAGGTAATCATGTCGCCAATGTTGACACCCAAATGTCAGTTAAAGTCATTCGAGTGAGATTGCAGAATTCAAGCGAAAAGCCTGCTCAAATTGTCACACATCCACACACACACACACACTATCCAACAACAAGACAAACATAGTACAAAGAAAATCTCGGGTCCAAAACACAAACAGACGGCTGAAAGGTTTCAATAGTCAAACTATCCCAAGTGGGATAATACTGCATGCATACTGTATTGTTGATCCCGTTTTAGCACTACAAAAGTATCATCTACATATCTTAAGCATATTTTAAGAGTGAGTATGCTTGAAAAGATGTTATCGTCGAATCTGCTGATGAAAAGATCAGCGACTATTGGAGAAACTGGTGAACCCATAGTAACACCATTTGTCAGTCTATATAAATTCTCTTGAAATGTGAAATAATTACTTTCTAGACAGAATTCCAAGCTGTTAATTATTTCACTGGTGTCCAGTGGACATTTGTGTGATAGCGTTCTATCTGATTCTAGTAGACTGGAAATGATAACAAGACTTTCGGTAATAGGAATACTAGTATATAATTGTCATTAAGTAGTGAAATGCCGATAAAAACAATATCGTTTTGTGTTTCATTCATTGGGAATCTATTGGAACCTACTTCAAAGCTCTTAATAACAAATCGAGAGACTTAATAATAGTGAAATGCAGTCATCAATTTAAAGAAATATTTTTTGCGCTAAACATAAGTGTTTTTCAATGATCGGAAATGCCCATTAGAAATTTCAAAGGCCTGATTACTGAACAAAGAATATTCCCTCCGATGACGTCCTCTTTATCACGTTCTACATTTACATATCTATCTATAATATTGCTGAAAGAATTAGAGTTATTAACGACAACATTCATGTTGTTCAAGTAACATCGAATCAATCAGTAATATGAAGAGATTACAGCTAAATGGCATCTATAAGTGTGATGATGTACATCAACATAAAATAACACTAAGATACACACTGAATATCAGACAGACAAATTAAGAAAAATAATAGTAATACAAAATTCATGAATTTGTAGGCTCCACAGAGATGTCCAGAGCAGTAATGGTGGCTCGCTGTTTCTTCAGCACACACACAGAGCCCAGATTATTTTAGGCGAACTACAAGAGCCTCTGGTCTTTGGTAATTTTATTTCTTACCCGATAGCTAATGATGGAGAAGGATTCTTCAGATTTCTGCAAATTTCTTTCTTTTTCCTACCATCTGGTTCTTTTGTAAGGAGGAGATGTAGCAAGGCAGTTCTATTTTGGGATTCCTCTTCACACGTGAATTTGATGGCGGAATATACCTTACTGAGGTGAGTTATTATTGTGTTCCTTTGCGAATCATTTTCACAATGAATGAAGATATTACACTTACATATACCGTCAATCAAATTGGAATTTTCTCATAAGGTGTTGCTCCTTTGGAAACATCCTCGGAGTCGGATGCTGCTTTTTCCCATGTTCACAGATCCATTACCACACTCTAACGGATTCAATGACTTATTCACATGTATTGATACCTCCACCTGATTATCTGTGGCCCCACCGTTTAATAATTCTGGAGCCAAACGGTGGAAGAGGATTTTCTTGAACTCTTAATAGCCATGTTTGGGGCGCCTATGACAACTATGACTGATACAGGAGCTCAATTTGAGTCAAATCTTTTTAACATTGAATCGAAGTTTCCAGAGTCACAAATACATCGTTGCACGACCCATTGTCCCCCACCTAAGAGCTCGACTTATTCTACAAAGAAATTCCCTGTTAACATTTCTCTCAGACTGCGCTCAGTGGATAAAATTCCTACCAGTGCCAATGCTAGTTATTCGGGCAACAGTTAAAACTAGTGCTCACTATTCAGCATAGGGAGTGGTATTCGTAGCCGGTTTGATATTATCTGCCAAATTTATCTGTCCCAGTGCTCACATGAAAAAACTTCACAAGGCTAAATATCTGAACCGAATCCAAACGACGAGCTTCGATGGAAACGAGGACGTGTCATTGCACTGCTTAGTAAGTCAATCCTTCTCACAAACAACCCAAATCCAATGAGTACATGTGAATGTATAATTGCAGGGTGATCCGGTGCCTGAGACTCTTAAAAATCTCCCATCCGGACTGCCAAGAAAAACATTTTTCCGACTGGGCTACTGATCAGTTTCTACGGTCACGAAATAACCAGTGTGTGTGCCTATTTGGACGGCTTCCACGCAGGCCCACAAAATCACTCGCCCTTCTGAAGTTGGCTACATTGGCTGAAAGAAAAGAGCAACCTCTAGATAGGTATCGGAAATTTATCCAGCATAGTTATTAGGACGACAGAGTAAGTTAGTTAGAATTTAAGTTCTCCCATTTAGCCAATGTCTGGGCACATAACTCCACCAAAGCCCAAGTCTATGTAAGTCCGAGTGGCACATGGGGTGCAATTTTCAGCACCTGTGTACGGCCGAAGTGCTGGCGATCCACCCATTTATTCATGTGCAGAACAGATCCTTCCAGCTTCTTATTATATCATAGTCCATGACCCCTCAGTACACTCTGACTGAATAGTTCCACACTTTTACTCTTAGAGGTTCCTTCTCTGTCTTCCTCTAAGTTTTACTCACTGTCCCAATCTTTAAAGTCGACATTCACCCATCTGGTCCTTCATCTAAAATAGTTTATGTTTAGTCAAATTTCAAACCCTTACTTTCATCGTACTGTTGTTTTTGTTACATAACTTCCCTGTGTCTTTAGAAACCAACAGTTTTTGAGTGGATATAATCAGGATTGTTAAGACTGAAAGTTTGTCGATAGACAAAATTAGCTGTTATGAATTGTCTTTTGATAGCTTCGTGTCTCTACTTCCAATGAATTACTTTTCATATAGTTTACTGTGATGATGTAATTCGAAATGGTATTCGGAAAAGATTACTTTGATGCAAATCTAGGACTCATTGAGGCTTATTAGTACTAGAATACGTGAATGCGATGTCACAGGCGAACCGATTTATGAATAAAAGCAGTTTCTCTGGACATTTTATCTCTAAATGATATAAGGTACATTCTCAATAAAATAGTTTCAATTCATAAGCTTTGCTAGTCAGTGGCAGTCACTGCTGTTTAGTGGTCACGTATGGAAAGCAAGACTCAAAATGAAATATACGAAACGTATATTATTTTTACGGGTTGATCACGGATTGATATCAGTTAGAGAACCATTGAAAACCAGGAAGTACTGGACAGCTATTATTTGCTTTGTGCCAATGTACCCCTTCCATTTCATCTGAAACACTTCTTTTTCTCCTAGTATCCCAGAAACGCTCATTCTACGAATAGACTTTGGTTTTGTTTAACACATAATCTCAAGCTAAAGATAACTTCAAATTTTACTTGGCAACAGCTAAATAACCTCTTGAGTATCGCATGTAGTCTTTAAAGCTAATAATACCCTTTTCTTGTTTGGTTGGAAACCTAGCAGCCTGGCGCGAATTTCAATCTGGGACCCGTGGTTGTAGGCATACGATAACCAACCAATATTGAGGTAAGTACAACTTTTACAAGGGATTGAAGTCTGTTTTAGAAAAATTAGAGTGCTGAGGTGAATCATTAAATTGTAATGATATAGGTAAGTGCAAGTATCATAAATAAATGCATTTATAAAGGAAACTCCCTAGGCTGACAACGTTCATTTGCAATGTATAATGCTAGACGTATATCTCGTACTATCATGATGTCCACTTCTGGTTTTAATACATTTATCCTCAGTTGTGCCAGTTGTTTTAGTTTTATACCTTTTTGTGCATTTAGTGCACAACCGTACCCTTCGGAGAGTAGGAATATAAGTCATAAAGAGCTGTAAAATGTTAGTTTTAATGGAGTAAAATGAGGATCAAGTAAAGACGTTATTAGAAAATGAGTGAGATAAGACATTTTGAAGTGGTATTTAAAGATCTGACAATGGATAGCAAGTTAATTTATAAGATGCCCCATAAATCTGTGCGGATTCCGCGTGGTCGCATCTCAACAATAGGCTGGGCGAATGGTATATATTTAAAGGTAGAAGCATGATCTGTCAAGGCGTTCGTTATTATCTTTTTCAAGATTAAGATCTAAGCCCTCATAAAAATCAGAAATATCTCGAGCCTTCAAATTTCGTATTGCTGTTCCTGCAGAATGTGGCGATTCACCTTAGTGACCACCACCATATCTACTGATCTGCTAGTACCACCCTCCCTCTTTTTTAAGAGCTGGAAAATTTATTAGATTATGTTACGGTCTAAGTTTTGGTTATGATGTTAATTATGGGTGTTTCTCTAAGAAATCAACGTCCTAGTAAGACTAGTTTGAGTATTTCCCCCCCTTCTTTTTGAAAGCAATGATAGACACAGGTACCTATTACTTGCTTTTCAGACTCAATAGCCTTTTGGTTACCTAAGAGTAAGTTTCCTGGATAGAGATATACTTGACAGTTAGTTATTTGAACTACCGATTTCTTATTACTTATTGTAAATTGTCTTTTGGGTGTTATTAATCACTTTCGAGGTAAACGTATCCGTGTATGGTATGGTATCCAAGCGTCGGTGGCACAGTGGTAGAATGCTTGTCAACTTCGTGTGTGGCTTGGGGTTCGATTCCTGGCCGCCGCACTCCTTTACCCCCTTGCCTCTAACTTCGAACCCTGTTCCTCTGAGAACGTAAAGGAATAAAAAAAGTGTTATCCGATTTGATTGACTGTTGTTTTAAAAGGGCCCCCGTTAGGTTGCA